TCCATAAGCATGGAAACGGCACTCCTCTTATGAGTCCTAGTGGTGGTCTTTCAAGAGCTGTGGTGGCATATTGGTTGGGGGCATGGGAGAGAAGCTTGGAGTGCCCTTACTAGTGCTGTAAGTCTTCCAAAGATAATTACAAAACTTCATTAATCAAGCATATTTCCAAAATTTGCAAAGGTTCCATTTATTTCCTCAGCTTCCACTATCTTTATTTCTGCAGTAACAAGGAAAATTTTCAGTCCAAGAGGAAAGATGTGAATTTTCTTTACAAATCAAATTTTATTTGAAAATTTGGCAAAGTAAATTGAAATGTCTACAGCAACTAAAATATATGATATTATATGATTTCATGTGACATGATAATAGGATACCAGATATGAAGAGCAAAGGAGAAAACTGTGGCCAGCAGATTTAACAATAATAGTAAGTTTTTAAAACATATTAGGAACAAAAAAAATCCTGACAATGGAGACCTGAGAGAAGGTTTGGAATTTGTGGGGGAGCATGGGCTGTTATAGCAAGGATAAGGGAGAGACAAGACAGAACTGGGGGAGAGGGGGAATCAAATCAGTATCTTAGATGTCTGTATACTGATGCAAGAAGTATGGGGAATAAGCAAGAAGAACTCAAAATGCTAGTAAATAAACAGAACTATGACATAGTTGGCATCACAGATTGGTGGGATAATGCACATGACTGGAATATTGGTATAGAAGGGTACAGCTTGCTCAGGAAGGACAGGCAGGGGAAAGGGGGAGGTGGTGTTGCCTTATATATTAAAAATGTATACTCTTGGACTGAGGTTGAGATGGGAGTAGTAGACAGACTAGCTGAAAGACTCTGGGTAAAGATAAAAGGGGCAAAAAACAAGGGTGATGTCATGGTAGGGGTCTACTACAAACCACCTAACCAGGAAGAACAGGTGGATGAGGCTTTTTTTAAGCAACTAACAAAATCATCAAAAGCACAGGACTTGGTGGTAATGGGAGACTTCAACTACCCACACATCTGTTGGGAAAATAACATAGCAAGTTCTTGGAATGTACTGGAGGCCATTTTTTATTTCATAAGGTGAAGAAGGCTACTAGGACAGAGGCTGTTCTAGATTTGATTTTCACAAATAGGGAGGAACTGGTTGAGATTTTGAAAGTGGAAGGCAGCTTGGGTGAAAGAGATCATGAAATGGTAGAGTTCATGATTTTAAGGAATGGTAGGAGGGAGAACAGCAAAATAAAGACAATGGATTTCAAGAAGGAAGACTTTAGCAAACTCAAGGAGTTGGTAGGTAAGTCGCATGGGAAGCAAGTCTAAGGGGAAAAACAATTGAAGACAGTTGGCAGTTTTTCAAAGAGACATTATTAAGGGCACAAGAGCAAACTATCCCACTGTGTAGGAAAGCTAGGAAGTATGACAAGAGACTACCATGGCTTAACAGTGATCTGAAACTCAAAAAAGAGTCCTACAACAAGTGGGAACTAGGTCAAATTACAAAGGATGAATATAAACAAACACCACAAGTATGTAGGGACAAAATTAGAAAGGCCAAGGCACAAAACGAGATCAAACGAGCTGGAGACATAAAGGGTAACAAGAAAACATTCTACAAATACATTAGAAGCAAGAGGAAGACCAAAGATAAGGGAGGCCCATTACTCAATGAGGGGGGAAAAACAATAACAGGAAATGTGCTTCATGACTTTTGTTTCGGTTTTCACCAAGAAGGTTGGTGGTGATAGGACGTTTAACATAGTGAATGTCAGTGAATATGAGGTAGGATCAAAAGAGGCTAAAATAGGGAAAGAACAAGTTAAAAATTACTTAGACAAATTAGATGTCTTCAAGTCACCAGGGCCTGATGAAATGCATCCTAGAATACTCAAGAAGCTGATGGAGGAGATATCTGAGCCATTAGCCAATTATGTTTGAAGAGTCATGGAAGAAGGGGGAGAATCCAGAAAAGGGAAAAGGGCAAATATAGTGCCAATCTATAAAAAGGGAAATAAGGAGAACCCAGGTAATTACAGACCAGTCATCTTAACTTCTGTACCCAGAAAGATAATGGAGCAAATAAGAAAGCAATCAATTTGCAAACATTTAGAAGATAAGGTGATAAGTAACAGTCAGCATGGATTTGTCAAGAACAAATTGTGTCAAACCAACCTGATAGCTTTCTTTGACAGGGTAACAAGCCTTGTGGACAGGGGGGAAGCAGTAGATGTTGTATATCTTGACTTTAGTAAAGCTTTTGATACTGTCTTGCATGACCTTCTCATAAACAAACTAGGGAAATGCAACCTAGATGGAGCTACTATAAGGTGGGTGCATAACTGGTTGGGAAACTGTTCCCAGAGAGTAGTTAACAGTGGTTCACAGTCATGCTGGAAGGGCATAACGAGTGGGGTCCCACAGGGATCAGTTTGGGGTCCGGTTCTCTTCAATATCTTCATCAATGATTTAGATAATGGCATAGAGAGTACAATTATAAAGTTTGTGGATGATACCAAACTGGGAGGGGTTGCAAGAGATTTGGAGGATAGGATTATAATTCAAAATGATCTGGATAAACTGGAGAAATGGTCTGAAGTAAATATGATGAAATTCAATAAGGACAAATGCAAAGTACTCCACTTAGGAAGGAACAATAAGTTGCACACACAAAAAAAAAGGGAAATGACTGCCTAGGAAGGAGTACTGAGGAAAGGGATCTGGGGGTCAGTGGACCACAAGCTAAATATGAGTCAACAATGTAACACTGTTGCAAAAAAACGCAAACATCATTCTGGGATGTATTAGCAAGAGTGTTGTAAGCAAGACACGAGAAGTAATTCTTCCACTCTACTCCGGGCTGATTAGGCCTCAACTGGAGTACTGTGTCCAGTTCTGGGTGCCACATTTCAGGAAAGATGTGGACAAACTGGAGAAAGTCCAGAGAAGAGCAACAAAAATGATTAAAGGTCTAGAAAACATGACCTATGAGGGAAGATTGAAAAAATTGGGTTTGTTTAGTCTGGAGAAGAGAAGACCGAGGGGGAACATGATAACAGCTTTCAAGTACATAAAAGGTTGTAACAAGGAGGAGGGAGAAAAATTGTTGTTCTTAACCTGAGGACAGGACAAAAAGCAATGGGCTTAAGTTGCAGAAAGGGAGATTTTAGGTTGGACATTAGGAAAAACTTCTTAACTGTCAGGGTGTTTAAGCACTGGAATAAATAGCTTAGGGAGGTTGTGGAATCTCCATCATTGGACAAACACCTGTCAGAGGTGGTCTAGATAATACTTAGTCCTGACATGAGTGCAGGGGATCAGACTAGATGACCTCTCGAGGTCCCTTACAGTCCTATGATTCTACAATTCTATGGTATTAGTCCATTAATGGATAGAAATGGTAGTATTATCAATAATAATGCAGAAGAGGCAGAAATGTTCAATAAAATATTTCTGTTCTGTATTTGGGAAAAACAGATGATGCAGCCTCATCAGATGGTGATGATACTACTTCTTCTATTGCACTAATGTTTCTGGATAAAAGCCACTAAATTTAAACATTTTCAAATCAGCAGGTCCCAATAACTTGCATCCAACAGTTTTAAAAGAGCTGGCTGAGGAGCCAGTTTTTATCCAGAACTGAGGGACAGTCTCAAAAGTGGGGGACTGTCTGCTTGATCTACTTTATGCCAGAGGGTGTGCTGGAAAACTGTTAAAAGGCAATATGTAACTTGTATTAGAAAAGGGAATTTATCTAATGTAGAACTGTAAAGCCTGATATTACATCTTCATGTTTTTTCCTATGTAACTTGTATGTGTTCGCTTTCCCTTGCTATTCCATCTTTGAATCTGTGATTTTTTTTGTGTGTTTTTGTAAATAAACAGTTTGTTTACTTTTACCCCAAGCAGTCTCCGTTGTGCAAACTGTGTGGAATGTATGTGCCAAAGTGAACTGGTAAGTGGAGGCAGGTTTCATATCTTCGAGGGTGATGAATCCAAGAGGGGAAAAGTCTGAGTGTCTAGTAGTTGAGAACTTGGTTTAGATAGATTTGGGAAGACTCAAGATTGGAAGGGCTCTGGGGTCAACCTGCAAGGAGTAGGTAGCCTGGTGGAAGCCAGGGTCAGACCTTTATGCTTGTGGGCTGGCTACCGTTGTTAGAGCTCTGAGCCATAGCTGCATACCATGAAGGCACCCAAAGTTACAGGGCAGGTGGTGACAGAACCCCTTACTGGTCTGGGTGATCCCCAAAACATCACAGTAAGTCATGTGTGTATAAGATGGAACTAGAGGGGAGGTGTCTTGTCATAAAGATTTTCAGCACCAGAAACAGTTTGGATTATAGCATATGTTGTGTACACACACACACACACACACACACACACACACACAACTGAAGGGAAAGTATCGAAATGCCTAAAGTATGGAAATGTTTTGGTCTATTAACCTGGACTTTGACAAAAATTGCTTGAAAGACTTTTTAAAAGAACAAAGTCCTGCTTGATATCTTGATAGAACTGCTTACCTAAGAAAGCTTTTTATTATTAAATTATTATTTGTACGGCAATAATATGTAGAGGCCCCAACCAGGAATAAGGACCCTATCATGCTAGATGCTGTACAGGCACAAAAAACAAGTCATTGCCTCAAAGAGCTCACAGTCTAGGTTATTACAAGGCACAACAGATGAATGAGACAAACAAATCGGGGAAAGGAAATAACAGTAAAGCAAACAAGTTAAGCTTATGCTTTAGTTAAACGTGTAACTCAATGGTTTGTACTAAATGCCATAAAACAATATAGAATTCTCATTCATAAACAGATGGTTTCAAGTTGACGCCAAATTAGACTAATTTCATAACACATACACAAAATCACTTCTAAAGGTAAATTACCTTCCTTCCTTCAGCCAGCTCTAACTCAGCAATCCAGTGATGTTTAGACAACAAAGCACAGGATTATTATACACCATAACAGAAGGGAGAAGATTTGAAATAAAGACAAGTTAACTTACAGCCCAAGTTTTCGTCAGCCTGAAAATAGGTGCGCTTTGCAATGCTGATACCACAGCCATGAGGGAATGTAAGTTGTTCAGTTCTAGAAGTTTCTGAAACAACACCAAAGGAAAAATTAATTAACCTTTTCTCATAGCTGTTTAGAGCCATCACACTGAATACAACCAAACTAGAGCAAGGGGTACTAAATGATGTCTAATTTGGGAAATTCTATTAATCTGGGTGAAATTTTACACTTTAAAAATGTTGCAGATATTCCAGGCTTGCCTTGAACTCATTGCAAAGTGAAAGCTCACTTAGATGTACCTCCTATGTTCACAATACTAATTTGGGTTTTGCAAGGTTCTCTCTTTGGGAGTGGAAAAGATTAAATAATTTTTAAGGGTAACTCTGGTATTATTGTTGAAAACAAGTTCTAACAATAGGATATTATGGTCTGACTCTAGTCTGCAGCTCCACTTGCTCCAGGACTTGCAGCATCCTCTTCCTGACTTAGCCCTCCAGCTAGGTCACTCAGTGTTCCCCCTTCTGAGGTTCAGTTCTAGGCAGTCTGCACCAGTACTACTCCCTCACTGTCTGGTAGGGGAACACAGGCCCGCCCTCTTGTCCAGGTTCCAGTCCAGAGACCCTCATCTGAGCAATTCTGAGTTTCCTCTTTCTGTCCTCACTGCTCCTCCCCTGGACTGATTTCTACGACACCTGGTTCCACTTCTTTCTCTGGGTGTACCAGCTCCATGAACCCTCCTCCTTCTTCCCAGGGAGTGACTGCTGCCTGCCTTCCTGCAGCCTTTCCCAGCTGCCTCCAAACACTCCTCCCTTTTCCCAGGGAGGGACTGGCCTTTCTCAGCAGCCCAGTCTGTAGCCTGCTATCTGGTTTTATAGGCCCTGCATGTTTCTGCACAGGTGAGCCTCTTTCCAACCATCTGCCTCCAGCCTAAAGCAGCCTAATTAGCTGACTGGACCCACCTGGCCCAGCCCAGCTCTTGCAGGCCTAGTGTGGGGAGCTCACCCCACCACATGCCTAATGCTCCAATTGTCCTCTGTGACCTGAATCCCTAGTAGGACTACATCTTCCCATGATGCGCAGCTCCCCTCACCAAGGGCTTTGTCTACATGGGAAGTCATGGCACAGAAAGCCAGGATATGAATCTAGAGCACACCTGCTTGCCACCCAGTTGAGTCCACGTGGACACTGCTACAGTGCAGCGCAAGTCCTGGAGCATGGCTTGGCTTATTACTACCTGAAAGTGTATTAAGCCAAACTGCACTCCAGAACTTTCAATGTGCAGTAACAGTATCCACACAGCACATTACTGAGCAGCAAACTGGTGCTTTGCAGATTCACATCTGGATTATTGCGCAGTAATCTGCATGTAGACAAGTCCCAAAAGATGACATTGTGGTGCATCACAAAAATTGTAGTCTAACTGGTGAGCCCTACCTAGAGCAGAGAATGGGAGGATCAGGCCTCAGAATTCCAGCTTCATTAGGCTCTATGACAGCATGTCAAAATAGAAATATTCCGGTTTTTAGCCAAAATATTTTGGCTTTCAATTTTTTGCCAACAATTCTAAATTTTCCGTGGAAAACGTTGATGAAAACAATTTTTTGGTGAAAATTTTCTGTGGGGAAATATTTTTTTTTTCCCAACCAGCTCTAGTGCTAGCAACAAAAAGTTGTTTTGGTAATTATGTTGCCCATGGCTCCAATGCAGCTCAACAACATAATAGCAGCAAGATGAATCACCTTTAAACTTGTAAAAATGCTAAACTAGAATATTTATAGCAGAAGCCAGTTAAAAAGTTCACTGCCCATTGTACCTAGCTATGTACGAGCAGATCAGCCTGTGGTGGTCACATTGTGTGTCACAATGACCAAGCACTTAGTGGGATAGCAGGAGCTGTGCTATAAAGAATTTTATTCTTCAGTGGTCTAAAGAAACAGTTGATATGAGGAGTGGATAAACAGACCAAAAAAAACATTTTGAAGAATAATAATAATAAAAATGCACACTTACCTTAGCTATTTTCACAAAATGGCTCAATATTTCTGCCCTTATTTTTAAGGTCTGTGCTGTTAAAATTTCTCGTACAACCCAGAAACTGACCTATAAAGAAACATATACATCTGGATTTAATGCAAAAAAACCCACCTTTATTATATTAAACATCTATAAACTGTCTTGATTCTCTAAAGAAAATGCAGGTTAGGAGCAGGAAAGATATGAATCTTGTAAGAAAGACGGGGTATTAAACAAACCTTAGTAAGCAACTGCTGAACCGATTACCCATACCACCTTTCTTTAATGTCAATGACTTAACTAAACAAAAAGACTTGAGAGATTAATTTAGATTTATAAAGTTTAATTAAATATCCTTAACAGCCACAACTGATAGGACAGGATATAAGACAACAAAAACAGTAGTAGACTAGGATTTGTCTAACAAACTAGAAAACTGGTCAATATAATCATTCAGATTTTCAGAATCAAATCACACAACCACTACAGAAAATAACACCTATATTCAATCACTATCTAGGAAAGGTGACTTTATTTAGATTTTTGATTATGAGTCCCTCCGAACAGGAACTCACTTGTGCCAACCGATTTTATCAACCCTGCTGTTGGTAACACAACAGAGGAGAAAGAAAAAATAGAAGCAAAATGTAAAACAAAAACTCCCCTCCAATACAAAGTTAAAGTGCAAGACAATTTGGTTAATTAAATATATGCCAGTTCACCCTGGTCTCCTAGGGTTTCTTATTTGAATATTACTGCTTGACAGTAAGGGCTTCTCTTCACGCAACAGTTAGCTGAAGTTAGTAAAGTTGCTCCAATTAAGTTAGCCTAGCTCCAATGAGAGCAGGGTGAGAGCAACAAGATTAGGAAATAACCACCTACACAGAGTGATTTGTTTAGTAGCATAGACTGATTGGATATGCAGTTGATGAGTTTAATTCGAGCTGCTGCATCCCTACAGCATTACAGCAACACTCCAACAATTAAATCGCCACCCCCTCCAGCCTTGCAGACTGAAAGACCAGTGATCTAGCCACTAGGTCGCCCAGCCACATAAGACCCTATCACAGATTATAATCAAGTCATCCCTTAATCCTCTCTTTGTTAAATTAAACAGATTAAGCTTCTTGTGTTTATCGCTATGTAGAGAGTGAACAATGCTCCTACTCCTACATGGTTTAGCATACTGGTGCAGCAAGGTAGGAATATGAGGAAACTGCTGCTGCCTGTGCTCACCTATTCTGGATAAACAGAGGTCATCAATCTCTATGATTGTCAGCCTAGCAGCTTTTCACAAGAATTACATTTATTAAAATTTAGGGGAAAGATGAAAGATTATCCATGTAAATTTAAGAGCCATAGATACTTATGAAGTGTAGCTACTAGAACAGTCTAGTGGGAGAATGTTTCATTTGGGATGAGCCCTTGCCTCACAGCTGAGAAGAGGCAGGAAGCAGACTCGTATACCCAAAATGGCAGCTAATTTTTGACTGAGCCACAGAATTTAGCTAGCATCAAGACTTGCATATTTTCTTTATGCACCCAAGGGATTTCCACTGCCATATTTGAAACATACACTAAAACATGTGGTTGACTATCCCCTCATCTAGATGCCTGTGCACAATGACAAACCGCACAACTACTTCTGAGTGCACTCTAAGCACAATTTGAGGGTTATTGTTACTCGGAATGCTCCTAAAATTAGCACATACATGATTTGCTAGGTAGGATTTTTCCTTTTTAAATTACAAGAGTGTTATAAGGATAAGCTATGCTTTGTATTGCAACTTGAGTGGAAAAATTTTAAACTCGTTCATTTCTTATTATTAGATACTAGGTGAATACATGCACGTGTCTACATAATAGACTCAAACAAAACAGTGTTCGCAAACTAACTGTGTTTTTGTGTTTAGTTAGGGTTACATCAGAACCCAGAAAATCTCAGGCTCTGGAAGAAACCTTGTTGTTTGAGAGCAGGTTGTTGAACTGGAATATAATCAAATACTCTTGATCAGAAAGAAAAAAAATATTCCCTTGACAGTTAGCAATTTGTTTTCACATCTGTTACTAAATAAATAAAATCCCCCATCAAAAAAGAGCAAACAAAATAAACAAACAAGCCCAAACCCAACACCACCAATCCATTCTTCTTCTTCATGTCCATTGAGTATCATGTAATAATACTCATCTTAAAATGACTATTTTTATATCCATCCTTTGCAACATTTAATTGTAGCTCTAATCTGAAAAATTAAAAGTCAGTTATAATCAACACATTTGGTACACCCATACTGATCTCCTTTAAAGCCAACAACTCTCAAGAAAAAGAATCTAATTCTTTTATGATTACTAATCCATCAAAACACTGTGTTAATAGGATTCAGATGTGGCACATTTATGTATATCAGTGAAGTAACAAATTCAATCCTTGTTAAATTCAGGTGGGCAGTGTTAATTCTGTAAATCTAATTAGATTATTTACCTGATTAAACCTCCTTGTGAAGGCAACAATATTAGGGGCGAGGATGTGTTTTTCTTTCTTATTCCATCCACAGCTGGCTAGTTCCTAGAAAATACACCAAAATACTGTTTCACTATTTACATCTTTTTAAAAGAGAGATAAACAGTCTTTAAAAATAAAACAATGTTGAAATATTGTCTTTGAGTTCCAATGTAGGGAAACTAAACTTAACTGAAATACCATTAGAGGGAAGCATGGAAATGGACACATAAGAGTAATATCTACCGTAGACATTTCTAAAACATCAATCACTGCAGTTATAAATCAAGTATCAGAGGGGTAGCCATGTGAGTCTGTATCCACAAAAACAACGAGGAGTCCAGTGGCACCTTAAAGACTAACAGATTTATTTGGGCATAAGCTTTATGTCTCTTTATGTGCCAGTATATTTATGCTTGTATCTGTAATTTTCACTCCATGCATCTGAAGAAGTGGTTTTTTACCCACGAAAGTTTATGCCCAATAAATCTGTTAGTCTTTAAGGTGCCACCAGATTCCTCGTTGTTTTTTCAGTTATAAAGGCCCTAATTCCATGACAACTACGCTATAAAACTTTGCTCTCTCCTCTATACTTGTGTATTTGCTGTGATACACTTTTCCAAGAGTGGGAAAAACAGATACACACAAGACAAATGGACCTCATCACTGAAGTATCTAAGGCCTCAGTTCTACACTGAGCACTTCACCCTCACAGACTCCAATTCAAATGAGGCTCACGCTGCTCCAGGCCTGGAAGAGTTCAATGCAGGATAGGGGACTAAGAGCTTTACTCACACACTACTATCTTATTCCATACAAAAGCTTTAGTATTAAGGCAATGTTAAGATTGAAAAAAAAAAAATCAATCACTTAAGTGTCTGAAAGCAGAGTTAAGTTAGTGCAGACTCAAGGTGTAAAGCTCAGCAACTCTGCAGCCTGTGCTTATAATTTAACTAAGCCTTCTCAATATTATAGCTTGCCAATTAATACAATTTATAATAAAACTAATTATAAATACTACATATAATAAATAACAGTACATTTGTTCTCTAGATTTGGCATGATTTTTAAGTCTCATGAGATCTACAAAACAAGCCAAATTTGAATAAAACAGTTCAGCAATTTTAAAGTTATGAACATTTAAAGAGATGGAGTTGGATCAGAGTTGAAATGGTCTCAACTCATAGATCATACCAGTTTGAAACAACTCCTCGTTTAAAATTGCCTTGTGATTGATAATCCTGAGTTTGAACCATCAGAAGTTAGCCACTCTAGACTAAAGTCTTGCAAGTAGCCAGAAAATATAGTAAAGACTAGAACTTAAAATTTTACATCAATTGAACAGCTGGCTAATAACTATTTAACTACTTAGTTTTAACTTCATCTCCATTAAATAGAATTTACAATAATACTTTCTAACTAGGTACCAGTCATTACTATTCACTATCATTAGGCTAGGACATTGCCTGCAGAGATATCCCAAAAAAGCCGCCCTTCTCATTCTCTGTGTAGCATGTGCTAAAATACTATCATACTTTTATGTTGGACCTTTATCATTAAGCACTTAATTACACAGAGAGAGTATTAAGGAACTTCAGCTGCCTCTGGGAAGAAAGGCCATAGCCAAAAAGTGCACAAGATAGAGGGAGGAGGGCATTTCCTTTTTTAACCGTAACTTGGGCAAACTTTACTCCTACAAAATGCATCACGGGCTTTTCAACATAAAAACATCCACAGCCAAGAGTGATCCTATTTTTAAGGTTCCACACACTGAATTGCATGGAGCTCAGTTATCTTGACAATGAAGGTCTGATCTGCCTACATGGAACCTATTGATTCAGACACTAAGTATTTTAAATATAATGTTTAGTAAATTATACTACAATTGGAAAAGTGCAGAGAAGGGCAACAAAAATGATTAGGGGGATGAGACAGCTTCCATATTTGGAGAGATTAAAAAGTATATGAAACTGTTCATCTTAGAAAAGACACAACTGAGTGGCGATATGAAAATCATGAATGGTATGGAGAAAGTGTTACTAATCCCTTCACATAACACATGAACTAGGGGTCATCTGCTGAAATTAATAGGCAGCAGATTTAAAACAAACAAAGGGAAGTACTTCTTCACACAATGCACAGTCAAACTGTGGAACTTGTGGCCATAGGATGTTGTGAAGGCCAAAAGTATAACTGGGTTCAAAAAAGAATTAGATAAGTTCACGAGGATAGGTCCACCAATGGCTATTAGCCAAGATGGGGGGGTGGGTACAACCCCATGCTCTGGGTATCCCCTAAACCTCCAACTGCCTGAAGCTGGGACTGGACAACAGGGGATGGATCACTTGATAATTGCACTGTTGTGTTTATTCCCTCTGAAGCACGTGGCACCAGCCGCACTCAGAGGCAGGATACTGGCCTAGATGGACCATTGATCTGAACCTGTATGGCCATTCTTATCTCTTAAATAATTCTAACCTTTCACTCAGCCCATACACACAAGCAGCACCCAACTGTTGCCAGGGGGCTGTGTGGTCGGTAGTAGAACTAGGATTCCAGGGGTGATGTTTTTTCTTTCTGCTCCTCCAAACAGCACAGGACACCTAATAATATTTATGCAGCTAAGATAAGGGAAGAGAACACCCAGAGAACCACTTACAAGATAACAATGAACAAGATAAGTTGGGAAAACAAGTAAAGAATTGGTGAACATGGACAGTGTGCGGACAGAGCATGCTGTACAGAGATTGGTTCCTACAAAGTAACCAAGCCAACCCTAAAATGTGTAATACACATCTAATTGCATTTACTGTACAGTGTAACTGTATATAAAGGGAGAGGGTTTCTGTGTAACTTGGATATACAATGTACCCTGAATCCACACCCTGCATTTAAGTCTGATCAACTCAGTGTAGCATTGCTGTATGCCAGCAAAAGATACCTGAGTGATAAAGAGTTGATGTGGGCCTAAGGGGCCAATTAGGGTACCAGGCTGCACCTAGAGGGAGAACCAGGCTTAAATGAACAAGAGGCTCAGCTGGGCTCAAGTAGGATGGATTATAAAACCAGGAAGTTTGCAGCAGAAGGGGCCTGCAGGAGAGAGTCTGCAGTCACTCCAGGGAGCAGAGGGGGGTGAAAACCCAGGAGGGAGAGAAAGCCCCAGGCTTCTAGCCCTAGAAGAAGGGTAAATCCCAGAGAAGTTGTGGGGAAGGAAGCCTGAAAGTACAAAGTAAGAAGAAGCCCAGGGAAACAGCAGTAAGTGGTAGGACTGCACTGACCTTGGTTGCTTGTTATAGGTCCCTGGGCTGGAACCCAGTTCAGAGGGCAGGCCTGGTTCCCCTACCAGCCACTGGGAAGTGGCACAAGAGCATTGGAGACACCAACCAGACAGCTTAGCAAGTTTGTTCCCTAAGCCTGGGAGTGGCCCCCAAGAAAGCGCTGTCTCCTGCACAGATGAGCTTTACCCTTGCAGTAGACAATTCTACTGTGTCAAAGTGAAAATGTCAACTGTGGTCTTTGTGCCAGAGCTTCAGCTAACCTTTTAAGTATCCCAGGCCCTGACCACTAAATGCCTTGAAGACGAGAATAGCAAAGTTGAATATGATATGATGTTGTATGGGAAGTGTGACAGGATGTACCTGGCCTTTACGGTTCTCTACAGGAGGACCCACATTCCTACTACACCCCGCCTCAGGAAAGGAGCAGCGAAAGTGAGTCCTCCAGGCCTGCTTAGAGAGGCCTCACAGAAGCAGCCAATGAGAGCCCAGCAGGTTCAGATAAAAGGAGCTGCAGACTCAAGCAGGTCAGTTCCTGGCTGGGACCAGAGGGGCAAATAAGGATGCTCCTTTCTGTCCAAAGCCTGAGAACTACAACCCTGTGGTAAGGAGTGAAGATAAAGAGGCAAGGCAGGAAGAGCTCCAGGGAAGTAGAAGCAACGAATCGAAGAGAATGGTACGTGGCCACTGGCCAATAGTAAAATTGTGTAAGAAGGGAACAAGGCTCATTTTGAAGCTCGAGCAAAGGGCTAAATTTAAAAGGCCCAGAGCTGGGGCTGAAGACCCTGGTGAGGGCAGGCAGACAGTCTTTTTTGGACTCTTTGCTACCCTAAAAGCAGTTAATTTTGAATGTGTGATGAGGCCAGAGGGCCAAGCCACTGAAGACCTTCCAAACTAAGTTGACAACCTACAGAAGACTCCAGGAGCAGGAAAAAGGACTGCAGTATCACACCCAGCCATTAAGTGGTGCTCAAGAGGTATCACCCCATTACAGAGAGCCAATGTCAGAAGCAGAGGACAAGTTTGATGTGTTTGCTGTAACTTGTATTGCTGGGAAGGCATACTATTGTATTTTGTATTTGATACGATTTCCTGAGGGCTGATAATTTCATGCTCTGCAAACAAGGTAATATATCTAGGAAAGAATGAAGGTCATTCACATAGGATTGGACTAACTTGGAAAGCAGTGACTGAGAAAAGGAATTAGAGGTCAGAGTGGATAAAAAACTCAACTTGAACTCCCAGTGCAATGGGCCGGCTAACTGAACAAATGATCCTTATTTGTATAAAAAAGGGAAATATCAAGTAGGAGTAGGGAGGTTTTATTACTGTATAACTGTAAATTGCACCGTATATAGCTTAGTAGATCTCATCCTCATTTAGTTTTTATTCACAAATTGGAAGAGGAAAAACAAGCTTTCCTGGCTTTTTCAACTCCCAATTGGTTTCTTAACTTTGAATGAACAAGTCATTGAGCTGAACTAGTTGAATAAACTGAAATGAAGGAAACATTCTCTCTACCTGCAAAAGGTTGTCAAAGGCTGGGTTAGTCTCTAAACAAATTCTGGTTCCAGTGCTTAGCCAGTGACTTCCATCAGTTCAATGGTTTAACTTTCTTTAAAACTTTGGCAACAAAAAATGTACCGCTTATTTAAAAAAAATTAAATGAATTTGTTATAGAAAGTTTAGGCCTGTAATGTAGCTTGTCATAATTTAAAATTACATTTTAAATAAAAATGCATTTAATTTAAATTAAAATCTGATTTAAATAAAAAATAAATTGTTTTTATT